GAGAGCATGTTTCTTTTCTTTATATATGTTTAAAACTTGGGCACTGTGGTAGTAAGTAATTCCATACTAGTTAGGTTATCATATGTATCACACAGTCAGTGCAACAGTATTATTTACTGGATGAAACAGTTTCGAACAAAATTTATTATTGTTCATAATCATATTAGTTATAATCACACGACTTCGAAACTTGAGTTTTATGGTTTTCTTTGTCCTCTCTTATTTGTCGTCGTTGGGGTAGTAGAATTTTCCAGATGTCCTGGTTGATAGGTGTTGAATTATTCCTGTTACACGTATTTGCAGTTGATCCGATAAACAAAGCTTCTGTTATCAATTTTTCCCTCCACACTGCTGGTACATTAGACTTCAAAACTTTCATCTTATCCCACCGTCCATTAGTTTGGTTGAGTGTAGCTGCATGTAGTAAGTGCTGTAGCTGCTGAGATATTCTCCGGATTTCTTATCTTATTCGGTTCAACTAACCTAGATTTTGGTAGGTTTTAATACTTGGTTAGTCTGACTAACCCTGTTCTACTACTTTGATCTGTGTATTTGACCTGACAATCATCGCAGACAGGATATTAAATAAACTAAACTGTTTAATTTCATTGGCTCCGCAGGATCCTTCAACAGATGGAGATTATTTATAATTGAGTTTGTTTGTTTGAATGCCACTTTTATTCCGGCCTTGTTAGGATTTCTGCGTAAGGTTTCTGGAGTTCCTTCCTTGTATGGAATTATTACTGTTGATTTAGATTCCTTATTGCTGGTGTTGTCTTGCACATGTTTGACATGCATGTCGTCATTAATATTACTATTATTATTACTATTATCAATATCATTACTATCATTATTCATTTAAATTTTACATTTCCATACATACTTTCTTACTAATTTATCAGAGTAATTATTAAGTTTCAAAACTTCTTCTATATGCCTCACTTCCTGTCTTAGATTTCCCTTGATACTGCTTAGGTTTGCGCCCCATTACTTAAACATTTCACCAGTCCTGTTTTCACTGACATAAAATGGGATGATCAGAAGCACAAATATCTGTTTGAATGTGTGGGTTTTCTGTAAACACTAGTGTTTAACTTCCCATCTTGTTTTTTACGCTATAATCTGACATTTGACGTTCCAATTTATAAGTGAATTGAATTACTTCCACTTTTGAGTTACTGTGTTAGAAAAATCTGTCTATATGCTGTGTTCTAATTACAGTGCATGTGTCTTCTGCATAACTCCACCATACTTTTGAGATTGGGTTGAACGTTTCAATCTCTGTGTTTTCTCACCTATCCATGAATATATCTGCGAAAACCTAGGATATTGGTGACCCTACGGTAACTCCCGCAGATCTTTTGTATATTTTCCCCTGGAATATAAAGACTGCATAGCTGCAATCCCAGCATTATGTCCTCAAGTGGCACGTTTGTCCTAAGTTCGAGTTCTTGGTCAGAAATGAGTTCGTTTCTGACTGTCTCTATAGATATATGTAATGGTATACGTGTATATAAGCTGACAATGCCAAAACTAATCATTTGTTTTTTCATTATGTAATGTTCAATGATCTAATCTGTGTCTTAGTTTATAAGAATTTGTTTGTTTTCACCTGTAAATCTCCGAACTTGTTTGACTTTAGACATAAACTGTCTGCATATTATAGGCCCTTCAGGGTCTTCTTATTAGCCCAACGTATTCCATTCTTCTTGCTGCTATGCATGACTCACCATAGTAAGCACTATCGAACTACTTATGCGGATCATTGAGAAAAGCCTTCTTTTCAGCTGAGGTATAGATTAATTTCTAAAGTTGACGAATGATCAATGGATTTGGGAAGGATAAACTGCCGATTCGGACCACTTCAATGTATGTTGATGAATTCACCCGTTCCTGTGGAGCTAGTTATCCTGGCAGCACAAAGCACACACTTTCCAAATAGATCTCTCAAAAATATCCGGCATGGTAAACGAAAGGACAATCCGAGAGAATTACTAGCTCAATTCTCAAACACTTGGGGAACTCAAGCCACTTAGCTTCACCAGAGACCAAATGGTACAAAGGATGTAAGGTTTCTACATTTTTGTATGGTGGAGGTGTTGGCGATTCGTCAATACAATCCCTGAAGTCTGTATACAGAAAAAAGTTGTCCAGTCTCTTATTTTACCATCGCCTCAATTTTTTCATCAGTCTTTCCGTGAAAATTTTTTAATTTTATATTTTAATGATTATTGTGCATTTAATTTAATAATGAATTCACTATCATCGCTCTTACATCTGTCTTTTGTACTTTTTCTTACCCTTTTCACACTTGTTAAATGGACACTCGACTACTTTTTTTTCACTCAACGACAATTTTAATCTTACCAAATTTCTAGCCCTTCCTTCCTTTGTGCCTTTCAGTATTACGTAAATTGTAACATTTGTTAGGCCACTCCTGAGTAATTCTATCGCTTATTTTACGCACTATAATTCAATAATGAACTGCTACGCATTTTTGGTAAATATAAATACGACTGTTCAGCGTTTGATGATGATTTCATTTTCTTTGTGACTCACTGGATACTTTCGGTGAGAAGAATCTTGCTTCAGTATCTCAGTTGTTTCGTATCTGTTATTCACAAACAACCATTATCTAGAGAAAATATTCATTCAGACATCTATAAAACACAAAATAATCGAGCAAAGAATATCCTCTTCGATAATTTCCTCTTCCAGATCTACAATTATATATATATGTTTATATACATAGAATGTTCTAGATTAGTAGTCAATAACAATATTAGTGTTTTTCAAATAATATCGATCTGCTAAGGAAGATCAACGGAACTACAGTTCATTTAAGATGCCTAAATAATAATAATAAAGATATAAAAGCGAATAGAATATCAACCAAAATTAGGGAAATTCCACAAAAATTCAGGATTATTCAAACCTGGATGGCCAAGGTAAGGGTAATGCCTGAACAAGCTTCTTTTGGACGCATTAATTATGCTTGTAATCGTGGATCCCCACAGCCTCAGCAATATTTAGTAGTCGAACTCTTAAGGCAAAATCAAGAATCGTAGGTATGCGGTAAATGACCCTGAAAGCATGGTTAACATCATTCTTGTGTTCTGCCTCCACAAGATGAGACAGAATAGCGCTACGAATAGAATTTCTTTGTCATTTGCTTAACCACGCAGGCTGATGTTCGGAAATTCGACGAGAAACACGCCTAACTTTATGGTCTATGTGACTGGCTCCACAGGAGCAGCTAAATTGGTAGATATACATGGAAGAGGCGAAATTAGCCAGTTTTCCGTTTACTTCCGAACGCAGAAGAGGAGTCGTTTTAAAGATACAACGTAATTCAGCAGCAGGGAATGCTCTTTTTACAGCATTTCTAAGGCGCTGTGGCAGTATCTCGCTGGTGTTGTCCGCAAGGAACTGCATCTGTAAGAATAACGTATTTTTTGGAACTGTTGGTAACTTGAGCTGCTTTGGTTTCAGATAGACAAATACAATACTATCTGACTTTCAGCCTTTTAGATGATACGGGAATCCTCCATTTCTACCATATAGATTAGGATTAATTTGATCATATTTATAAAATATCCAAAGGTGAAGGCGTTACCTGTCTATATTTATCAGGTAAAATAATACCATGGAACTGTAGATGGCAGACTTATAAGGCATTGATAAAACGAGCAAATCTGGAACTTTCTAACCTTCTAAGTGTATCAGATATCTTCAAGTATTCAGTGATATGAAGTAAATTAAAGCTTATGTTAAATAGGGCATTAAAGACGGGTAAGTAGAAGAAATGTCAAGTGACAATTTATCGGATATCACTCGTTTAAGTGTATAGACCATAATAGTCTTTTGGGATTAATCAACCTATCGGAACATACAAATTTAATTAAATTTTTAATAAGCGTATGGTAATAAGTTAAGAGATATGGAAAATATTTAACTGTAGAAGTGAGTTCACTGACCCATCCAAAACCTTTATTCATCGAACTAATAACTAATGCATGCCATAAAGACGACTGAATATCTATTCTAAATATACGAATAAGGCAAACACGCTGACAATAAATTTCATTATAGATTTCGTCACTAACCGACATTGTTTAGATGGATCATTGAAAAGTAGGAAGAAATGGAAATCTGTTTTTTCCCAGTTTAGGACTCTTCATCAGTATGCATCCACGAACCCTTGAAAATTTAGGCTACAAGACTTAATGATGGCTACTATATGGGTCTCTTGAAGTTGTAAAGGGAAATAATGGCCACTGAGATCCACCATGTTGAGCTAAAGTTGATTTCCATCTAAGGCTCTGATTAAGGATAGCGCTTTACAACCACCTGACAAATTTAAAATTCTCGGATCGTTTAATTCCGACTCAAGTAATCAAACGGTGATAGTTGTAAGGCAGTGCTGCGAACCGAATAATCCATGACGGGGGACTCACAGAATCCTTCGAAGTGAAAACCAGAGCAAAGCAAGGCTGCCTACTATCTTCAATAATTTTCCTGATTCCGGCAGACTGAATAGTGTGACAGACAGAGATGGGAAACGAAGAAACAGGAATAAAATGGATACGGAGAAAATACTTAGAGGATCTAGACTTTGTTGATGATATATGTTTGACTTCCCACAAACTGGATGATATGCAAGTGAAAAGCAACAAGTTAACGGAAGAAGAAGCATCAGAGATGGGACTTTACTTCAGGTGAACATAGAGGAAACAAAGGTGATAAGGATTCCTGGACAAAAGTAACAGCAACTACAACAACAGACAAAAATCTGCATATACTTCTCAGAATACGCATCGTTTATTAGATAGACGGATATCACGTGTACAATACTGAATACTGTGCAATATTGAGTAGTAACTTTGAAGTGGTAACATCAGAATTCTACTTTAAGAAACTAAACTAAAAACCAGATATTATTGTTTATTTATGTTCAGCTATACTACCATAAAGATTGCTACAATTATTAAATTACATACCTTTTGAATTTTATACAAAACTGGTAATACTCCAGATAAATTCAGCGATTTCACTTCATCTGTAGTATTTCGTTTTGTAATGTGTGAATATCTTGCTTTCCACGCCAGCTGGCCGAGATGATGAATATAATTTTGAAGCTCGTGTACACGATTCCAAAGAAATGATGGTGAAGAGGAAATAGAGAAGGAAGAGGGAAACAATGGTGGCGGTTGAAACGACGAAGATGATGGTGGTGAAGTGGTCGGGTATGATGCAGAATCAATTGGTATAAATTTTTTCAATTCTTCATAGCCTGGTAATTCCAATTGTTCACAATTTTCTAACTGAATTTTATAGAGGAAAAGAAAAACAAACAGCTGAAGAGTCATTAAGACAAGTATATTTAGTAACAGTTTTAAGCTGAAACAATTTCGAAGTTCACGACTTTTGAAATCTAGTCGAACTACCTGTTACATGCTGTGCTGGTGAATTGTTAGAAGAATGACCGCCAACCAAACATGCTGCCTGAGGTCCAGTGCCAGTCAGACGCACTCGTCTACCTCGCTAGGGCAGTAAAGGGGAGGGGTTTGGCGTTAGGCTAGCAATATCACTCCATAAAAAAGGATAAAACCACTGCTGCTGAAGTCCCAGAGCTCTAGATTGAAGCCTTATGTTACACAAGGAAGCTATGGGAATAAAATGAACAAAAAATACCCATTTCACAATATTTACCATAAAACAATAACACGCATTCACTGTTTCGAACACCAGCTGAAATCAACTAACGAATCATGGGAGAACTGAGGAGTGCTCAACATCTATTCCATCTGCTTTGAGACTCTTCAGAGGTTCTCAGTTATAAAGGGTTCGAGCCTAGGATGTCGCAGTTACAAGGCGGGATTGATGATTATCCGGCCACTGAGTCCTTATCTGACAGACTGCCTATGAATTCCAGTTTCTGCCTGTTTGCAACGCATGGAGCGATCGCCAGTAACTGATCTCTTAACTAACTAAACAGACCCGGCTGAAGAGTAAGAAAGTGGAACCGAACAACCTTCAAGTAGTTCTCTAACTGATAATAGCTATTGCTGAGTCCTGCAGCCAATCTAATCCCTGCAAACCAACACTTTATAAGATGCATTTTTATTGAGACAATTTTATAAACCCTATTTTGTGAAATTAGTTGCATGCATCGCACGCTTCAAAGATTTTCGAGTGAATTAATGTGGTCATTACCTTATGCAGGAATAATTAGCATAAGCACTGTCAAGTGAAAAGTTTACTAATCACTATGGTTACAGATACTCTGTTTCCGATTGATATGTATGCTTGCATGCGTTGTGCTTATTAGATAATTTTATTAGTTCAGAAATAGTTCACTTAAACCTTAATAATTCCAAGCATTCTAAGGTAATTTGAAGGTATTTGATAAATTTATGCTAATTATTTTATCAAACTATTGTTTACTTCAGTTGAATTTTTGATTTTCCCGTCGATTGTTTGGATCGAAGTGCTCGGTCTTAGGTTGACATGTCGGCTTCTTGTGCAGATGCAGATGCTGTCCGGAAAAACAACGAAAGCTTTGTAGTTAAGTTAACCAGCTTGCAGGACGCAACCGCATCAAAATGAAATAGTTTAAGGGCATCAGCTGTTCACTAGAACATGAGTTATCAGTTTTTCTTCTGATAGTCTGATCCAAAGTAGCAGGAAGCTCTGACATCTGATTGTACAATATAAGCTTCAAGTGATTTATTATTTCATTAAATCGAGAGTTGACCATCATCACTCACACAAAACTTTTTGAGCTGTACAGTTTTTGGCTTTTTTCAGTGGTATATACATATGTTTTCAGCCATCAGATATGTGACGTAACGTTCTACATTTTGACTTAGTATAAAAGATAATCACTCTGTCAAATAAAAAAAAGGTTTTATTGCATTCTTTTTGAGAATCATAAAAAGTCTGCACATTTCGGGATTGCTTTATGGAGAATAAAATTTTCTATTACCACATTTTTTAGCCATAATCATAAATAGGCTTGTTAAAATTATCTTCTTCGGGGGAAGGGATATATTTTTTGACTTTTTGTTTACTTTAAAAATTCCAGTTACCCCCACCCCACCGGATAATTCAAAACTCCTAATTTATAGCTTCAAAATACGTCTGTAACGTTAGAACACACATCTAGCGTTACCCAGTTATAGTTGATGAGAAATGTGGTCATGGACGCTGTCAGTGAACTAGAACGTCAATAACTGACACGCCGATTTCTCATCCACTGTTAAGAGAACGCGACATAGTAGATTGGACAGCTTCAAAGGAAAAACTACCTGGTCTCCATGTGATTCCAGCTTCGTGGCACGGAGCTGCAGCATCACCACCTGGCTGTACGTCCACCTGTCGAACTCTGCCACCAGTCGTTCAGCCAGCTCCTTCCAGGACAGTTTTTCGCCTGGCCGCTCTACACTGTTGTACGCTACCTTTGCTCAACCTCTCAGTAACGTCCTCAGCACGACCACATTTACAGTCGGACCCTTGACGCCCACCAACTTAGCGCAGGCCTCAAATTCCACAAGAAGTGCCTTATATTTCCTCCTTGAAAGCAACCGCTAATATAATCCCTAGTGTCTGGAAGCAGTGGCAACAATTATAACAGTAGAAGGCAAAGGACTTGGTAAAGTGATGTTAGTTTGGAATTTCGGGGGCACTATGCAAAGAAAATCTATACATTTTGTCTTGAAATCCCCATTTGAACAGATATTGCATGTTGTGCTACTTCTATTCTCTATAATGTGTTTCTCTGTCATATTTTCGTGTCTCCAATGTTGTGCCGCGACGCTTGTTTGTTTCCTGTTTGTGGAGACAAATCTATCTCTTTGTTATTTGATGTTTTATGCTGATGAATGTCTCTCTATGTACTACCGGTAAATTTTATCAGTAGTGAATGCCACTTGACCACTTCATAAAATCCAACTTTGAAAACAGAAAACATTTAATCCAGTGCTGTTGTTATTGTTAGAATCAGATAGGAACTTTAGTAAGCAGCACTAACTATATTTCAGAGCAAAGCCTTTTCGATGACAGTTTTTAAAACAATATTCTGATTTTCAAGCAAAAAGGAAATCACACTGATCTTGGGTAAATTTCAAGACCGATGCTATTCAGAAATTTAAAGGCGTAAAGGAGACAGGAGAGCATTGCTCCGTTGTCCGTAGTAGAAAACAGCATTTTGGGAAGCTAAAATACTGTTAATTATGTGACTGTTGAAGTTGGTTCAATTAACACAGTGAAAAGTCCTCCGATCACCGTTAAGCACACAGCACGTCAGTCTCAGAATTCAGCTAAACCTCCTTCAGTGTGCTGGCACTGTGGTTCGTGGCATTTTGTCAAGTTCTGTCCTTTCAAGAAACATAAATGCCGTAATTGTCACCGTTTTGGACATAAAGAGGGTTACTGTCCACCGCAGAAAAGTCCTTCGGTGAGGAACAGAAGTAGTCGTTTCAAGCCGAAACAATCTCTTCGAGTACAGACCATTTATACAACTTCCAAAGTCGATTTCGCCAGCAAACGTAAGTACATTTTACTAGGTGTTAATGGCAAACATATCCGTCTTCAGTTGGATACGGCATCAGATATCACCGTAATTTCCCGAACTACGTGGCGCAAACTTGGTTGCCCACAGATTCTGCCGACCGAGCATGTCGCCAAGAATGTCTCTGGAGATATACTGAAACTCGTGGGTGAGATAAATTGCCAGGTTCAGTTTGGTGAGCATCAGTTCAATGGTGTATGTTACGTTACAAACTACCATGATTTGAATTTGCTTGGTCTTGACTGGTTAGACAAGCTCCATATCTTTAATGTACCATTAAATTCAGTATGCTCTAATGTTTCGTCTTCACCACACAACGTTGTTCCCGGAGATGTATCTGATCAATCTCTCTTGCAACGCCGTCGTCAAAAGCACGCTTCTGTCTTCCAGGACAAACTTGGTTGCTGCAAACTGTTTGGCATCCAGCATATTCGTAGCCCCCCGTATCATCCCCAATCGAATGGACAGACTGAACGTTTCGTCGACACCTTTAAGCGTGCTTATGCAAAAGCGAAGGGGGAGGGAACAACAGAAGAAATTTTGGATAAATTCTTGCTGCATTATCGTACGAATGTAAAAGGACAGTTATGTGTCAGACACACAGATCACACTCTATCCAGTACCACGCAAAGGTCAACTCGACAAAGAAGAGCTCCGAAACCTTTTCAAATAGATCCAAAAAGCAAGTCCTACACTCTTTACGGGGAGAGGTGATAGGATCCCACATATTTTGGTATTGACTGTTAATCTTGTATATATGGTATATTATCATTCCCACACATTTTGTTATTGACTGTCAATCTCGCACATATGGTATATTATCATCTCTCACGCACTTTGTTATTGGCTATTAAGATCAATTATTTCAAATGCTGTTAGCTGTCCATATTGTTGTAAAATGTATAAATACCATGGCTTTCTTTGTCGTTGTTGCACTTCAATACACAGTCACAGTCCAGCCTTTGTCTTTTGATATTTGCGTGCTTTACTAAATCGGAAGGTACGACAAGCAGATAGGCAGATTAGTTCAGGCGCAGACAGAGCAAGGTGAAAACGTCTTCCTTGTATTCCCTACAGTTATAACATATACGTACTCAGATTACTTGTCATGTCGTTCATTAGCTCATGAGTACGATAAGTCAGTATCTACCGCTTACAGATGTATTCAAAACACAATATAAACTGTTCATTTGTGAATGTCAGGTAACTGGAGACAGTCAGCTGAAAGTTCTGCACCTATCACTCGTCTTTGCTGGCATTCGTCAGCAAGGCAATCGTCCACAAACCTGAAGAAATTCATATCCCTTCTGAGATTCGAACCCGGATCACTGAGCGCTGCAATCAGGATGTCATTACTGAGCTACTCAGGATCACAATCAACCACCTATCTAGTCCTTGGGTTGATGCAGCCTGAATATAACTAGCAGATGGTGTTCATTATGCTAATCTAAGTACTGATTTCAGACCTATAGGGGGTCAATCGTGAGTCCGAGTAGCTTAGTAGGAACGGTTTTGACTGCAGAACTGAGTGATCCGGGCTGGAATCTCAGAAGGAACATGAATTCCTTCAAGGATTTAGACAATTGCCCTGCTGACGAACGTCAGCAAGGACGAGTTGTGGGTGAGAGACTTCCAACCAATCACCTTCAATCATCTAACATCAACTTTGTATGGCGGGCAAGGAGAGTAGCCTAGCATGTTGACCATATCGCACACTTGACTGATAGAATTCAGTCTCCACCAAACGAATAACTAGATGCATAACACTAGTGACGAATCAGATTGTAGATCCGTGCATTGATCTACCGTAAATTCTGATAGTCAGGAAAATATGCCGGGGTTATTATCACTAACAAAGGAATATTCATAAAAGTCAGCTAAACACGTTTTTAACTAAGGCTACCTAACCAAATAGGATACTCATGTAAATAAATAAAGTTTATGATTTACCATTGGAATAAGTGAATCCATTAATCCAGGCGTATGAGAACGAGCAATCCACGCAGTAAAGAATAACGGTACACGTAAATGAAGCTGTACATTGATTAGGACATTATCTGTAATGAAAAAAGGGGTAATTGTAGAAATTATTGATTAGTGTAAAAGTAAACATAGGTTAAAAAGAAAGAGCTTCTTCCTGTCATTAAATTTGTTATAGTCTGTTCACCACTTAGATGCCGGTAGTGTCGGTTGGTCAGTCTATCTTTCACGTAAAGCCTCTTAATAAGATAAGGTTCGGAAATTAAAAAAACATTTACAAGAACTGTTTGCAACCCATAGTATGTATTACCTAAGCCAGCTAGATAAAATGCAGAGTAACCGAGCACTTATCAAGATTATACATATGCATACTTTCTTATTTATTAGTAAATGACAACTTGCGTACATATTCATATGAAGTACGATCAAGTTTTAACGGAACTGTTCCAAAACAATTAGGTTACAAGTGAAAAGTAGACCAGTCTGCCGGAAGAAACATTAGAATTACTCATTTCTGGACGTTCATCTAGCAAAGAAGACTGATGGGAGCCTAAAGAGATCGAATATTGAAGGACTACGTGGAAGAGCCAGGTGACAAACTTTTACAATTGGGTAGCCATCAATCTCACCCTGAACCTGATAATATCTATTGCGATCAGAATCCGCGGAATATGCAGTCCCAAATCAGTAGAGGAGGAGATCACCCTTTTGAGGAAGACACTACTTGAGAATGGCTATCCACCACACTTCAGAGATGAAGACATAAGGCCAAAACTCAACAAAGAACAACCCATATCTGTGCCGAATAAGATGCTATACATGAATATGGCGTTCAAAAGCGACCTTCTGGCCAACATCCTACAGAGGAGAATATATTCATTATAAACCACAAAGACAGGATGCATCTCAGCTAGCCATTGACAATGATTTTGAGCCAAATCAATAATTTTCTCCAGTCGACATTGATATTTGCCATCCCGAAGACCTCAACCAGGAAGTCAACGAGCTCCGACATACCTTAAAATAAGTGGTATGGATTTCATTGGTTGATGCAGTGTTTTAGTTTGACAACCACTAGCTCTTTTCCGGTCTTGATCCTATGTCAGCTAACATTGCCTGTCGAGGAAGGCGATTGATGGCTAAGCATGCGTAAGATATGTTCTTACTATTTCTATCAATCGATGAAGCTGCTTCATAACCTCATCGATTGGATTCTCCTCCTTACCTAGCACACGATCGAAGCCTAACCTCAATATTGCTCGCCCTAGTATACCATCATGCAACACGAGAGATGGAACGCAGACACCTTTCATCAAATACAGCTAGCCGATCTTTTCATGTCTCCCAATTTCAATGGCCATGTCTATTAGCCCTAAAGGAGGACAGAGCGAAATGCTGAGCAGCACACACGTCCTTTGGCCGACATTAAGATATCACGTCTCCGCCTGAAATGGCGTAAGTTGGCAAATGCCAGATGAGCCTTTTGTATCCATGCTGAGATTTCGACAACGATCAACCCGCTGGCTTTGGCTTATGCAACTAGCCAAATAAGTGAGTTGGTCATTATGTTCCATCGACTACTTAACTCCCTATCTTTAAGCTATGCATCACTGTAGTCTAGAAAGCTCTAATGATTGATATGACTACTCATCACAATCAATCAGTAGTATATAGTTTTATGCAAACATATTTCATTGAATTCAGTACATTCGGCTATGAAATTCACATGTGAAGAGGAATCCCAAGACAGAATTGCCTTCCTGGATGTCCTACTTACAAGAAAACCAGATGGTAGCATAAAAAGGAATTTGCATAGAAAAAGTACTTAGAGAGGACAATATACACACATTTTCGCAGCTTCGTTCCTATCACGTACAAAAGAAATTTAGGGAAGATCCTCAGCCACAGAGTTAGAGCTGTACGCTCAAAAGAAGTAGCTGAAGATGAATTAAGCATTGTATATGATACTTTGATCGAAAATAGCTATCCCGACAAATTTATCAAGAAACACATGAGAAAGAGAGCGGAAAAGGACTACTCACTATCTGTATATACGACTACAATTCAACGGCGATATACCAAATGAGATAATTACGAGGAGATTGAGAAAATCACTTCCAAGAACTTTTAGTGCTGGCAAACTACACGTATTATTCTCTACTTGACCGACGGTACTACCTCGACTGAAAGATGAAGTACCTAGACTAGCTAGCCACTTCAAAATATATCTACCAATTCAAGTGAGCTTGTGGAAAGAGTTATAATGGCTGTTGCTCTAGGAACTTGATTTTTCCTGCCAGAGAACACGTTCCAGCATGGCTAATTAAATGTTTAGTGAAAACCATTAACAGTTCGATATTGGACCATCTACTTCAAACCAGCCACAAAGCCACCGTCGAAGAATCCTTCTCTGTCATCTACTGGGTGCCTAATAAATTGCCAAAAACATCGAAGTACCGCATGATCCAAACAGCAGAGGCTATTGCGATTCACGTGAAACGACCAGTGCTCTGTGTACAAAAGAAGCAAATCCAGCCCCTACTACTTCCCTGGCCTTCATTAGAGACTATAAATTCATGAATTTGTACTACTATTTTTCCTAATTTTTCTGACATTCAGTTTATTTTATGTTGATGCTACTGAACTGTAATCTATTAATACTATTATTGATTCGATGTTATTTAAACAACATTAATGTTGTCCATAACACTACTATGTATATATAACTGTAGAGCCTGATGATGAAGGGGTTATCGAAAAGAGTACTCTTTGTTCAGTATCCATTCTTTTGAAAAATTTGAAATTTCATTGATTTGCTTCAATAGAGTTGAATATCATTCACATGAGCCAGCAGTACTCGCCAGCTACATCGAAATGATCTAAGTGTTAGATGGTTATTTCGTTTGTTTGTGACCTAACTTATCCATGGTGGATCATTTTTAACAAATTGATCTTACGTCAAATTGCACTCAGTGTTATATATCATGTGGGCATTCAATGATAAGCAACGCACATTCCCAAGAATCAGTTTCCTTCGACAAATTTTAATTTGAGTTCTTATTTTTCCTTGCATTTTATTCCTAATGAGGGCTTTGTCAGTCTATAAAACTGGTTCAATTTGAAAATACAGTTGGTTAAAGATCGAAATAGTTTTCAGTCTAAACATTTTGATCATTTTTGTTACTTTTGATCAGCACTTTTTCACTTGCATCAAGCAAGTATCAACTGATCAACTGCTAAAGATATATATATATCTGTTTTTATTTTTATTTTGTACAACACTCAAATATTTATGGTTTTATGCATTTTTGTTCGACGAAGTGAAAATAAAAAGTTGCAGGGATTAAATCAGATTATAAATTAACATATGAATAACACATGCTAACTGGTAGTATAGATTTAGTCAAATGTTAGCTTTAATTCCATAGGAGAGAAAGTTCCCTAAATAAATACGAAGTTAATACATTCCTCTTCTTTATCATATGAGTTTCAAGTTTTAAAGATTTTAACTTGTAGCAAAATGATTTTTTTATTTTGTGGCGTAGACGATTCCTTTTCTCAGCCATTACTTATATGCGCATTTAGGCAATTACTATATGGACATATCTGCTGAAAAAATGATTTTATGTTTTTTTTTAACCTTCAAGTTCCCAGTGGAATATTGGGCCTCAAGCTAGTAGCTTGAAGTTTCTGTAGCAGTGTTTATTTTACAGGATGGGGTTGCTAGCCTCACGCCCAATCTTTCCTCTTTACCAGCATTATTTCTGGCTTAGCGAGGTAAAGGAGTGCGTTGGTGGCTGGAGATCGAACCCTGGACCATATGTATGGTTGGCGAGCCTCCTAACCGCTATACCACCGTTAGCATTCACTTTTTAATGGGGCACGGTACGTGAAGCCTGAGCTTTGAATCTCCAATAGCACAGCTGTTATACGGGGTGAGGTTACTAGCTCCACTCCTTGCCTTCAGTCTTTGCTAAGCTTACGACAATCTGAATGATGTTTAGGAGGGCATCGGCCGGGAATCAAAACCAACTAAAGGCGAGATGAGCAAACATCATGTCACTGAACCGTTACTAACTGAACATATAGCCAAAAAATTAAAAATGCGCAAGACATACTTCCTAAGCATATTGCCTGAATTTCCGAAATGTTATGGAGTCTCTCAGGGTTCTAAACCCAATAAAGATATTATGCCTATTTCAGCATTCATTTTCCAACTGATTTTCGCCTCATGAACCAAAAGTCGTAGGGTTACAGGTGAGTGCTTTTAGAATGAAACTGTGGTCTACTACTTCACTGTTATCGAAGGCTTCTCGTGATCAGTATCAATCAATTGTCAAATTTGAGACAAAACAAATCTCCACAATGTAACTACTGAAAATAAAAGTGATGTTTAATTCAGGTATTGGTTTGTTGGGATTTGATTGGTTACAGGATTTCCTAATGATACCATCATCATATCCTGCAAGTAAGTAGTTACCTGGGTTCTAGTGAGAAGTCGTGACCAGTAGGGCGCAGCTGGTCGGGTGTGAGGACAAATACTCACCGAAGACATCGGCTAGGGGTCACGCTATGTCGTGAATTGGTAGAAGTTAGAATTCATGTGCTGGCCATTGGATCGGGTCCCAGTGCCTTAATGATATACGAGCTCGTCTTGTAACCAGAAGGTCCTGGGTTCAGACCCCGGCGGGTGCGTACTGATGAAGAGTCTCAAACTATGACGAAACAGCTGTTATGTATTCCTAGTTTTTTCAATGGTCCTCTGACCAATGTCAGCTGATGATGAAATCCTGTAACTAATATGATGCTTACTAATGACAACTGCTTACACGATGAAATTGTCTCGAGTTCTGGTGAGAAGCTATGATCAGTGACATCCATCAAGTCTGTAGGGTGGGAGAATAAATACTTGCTGATGCTAATAGCTGGCGGAACCTTAAGGTTCTGATTTTGACCCTTGACAGCTGTAGAGTGTCAAACTAGGACGAAGAAGCTTGACAATATTCTCTGGCTTTCAATGATTCGCTAACTGATATCAGTCCGTGATCAATATTGCGACAAAACTACATTAAACCAA